CTAACCCTCTCCAGTCCGGTTTTGAGTTCAGAGATACACCCTTGTGCAAATTAATTGAAACAACCGTTTTAGTTTCCATTCTTTCACCATACGGTCAGTTTTTAAACCCACTGGAGTGACAGTGTCTAATCGTTTTCTATTTTTTCCTCAGATTAGGTCATTTGCAGTGGTATGCAGTAATATGAATCATTTCTCGGGGTGAATGATGAAATCTGTTTGGCCTTGAAAAATATTTCATCATCTGTGATTGCATCAGATTTTTATCCCGCCCAGACATTATTGTCTCAGCTGTCGATTAGTTGTCCTACGGCCATTATCTGCTATAGACGTTACTTCAAGGAAGTATACGAAAATTGGAAAGCGAGCCTTACTAAAAAAATTATTGGAAATTATTTTGTTCTTGGTAAAATTCAAAAAATTCAACGTTAGCATTACGACTGCACGCTCCAAAAGTTTGTATCCGTTAACAATAACAAATTAAAAAATATATATATATTTCGATTCGCATTTAAAATTTCGTCCCGGATGCTACCTGAATTTTACCAAAAACAAAATATTTTCCATGCATGAAGATGACTGAACGTACAGTTGAAAGTATTTGCGTATTAAAGAAAGACCTTATAATTTTTTTTTTTAAAACAAGGATCATGATTCATCGTATGATTTGTAGGTTAATGCACCTTTAAAATTATGTTTGCGAAGAGATTTCACAATTTTATATCATAAACTTTACTAATCTACTTTTTGTATGAATGATTCATTGTAATATAAATTGAACTGCACCACATATTTGATATATATATATATATATATATATATATATATATATATATATATATATATATATATATATATATATTTGAGATATATATATATATATATTATGGAAATAATGAAAGAGTGGAATTTTTCTTTTGTTTTTACGCGTAATGACCTTTATGACATCATCGAACTAATGTGATGTTTACGTTGATGTAACTCTACACATACGCCCGATGGGGAGGGAACGCTGAAATTTTAAACTTTTAAATTTCAATATTTTCATATGTGTTTGGGTCTATAGTTTAATAAGTTTCATTTAGTTTCTTTTTCTTTAAGTTCATGTTTCCATCACTTTTCTTATTAAATATCCCACATTCTGATAGGAAACTTTTTAAGAAACTTGATGTAAATCTATTATGGAGGATCTAGCAATTAAAGCACTTCCTGTATACTTTCGTCTTAGTAAATTGCTTTGTCTTTTAATTAAAGTTGCATTTCAATCAAAATTCTAGTCAGACTCATTACGGTGAGCGTCCTTACATTGAGTATGATGTGAAAAAAACCCTTTTGTCTTCATATAATCTTTTATTTAAATACCTCAAGGTTGTTGTGCTTCTTGTAGCAATTATATAAAAACTTGTATATAATTTCTCCCATACACCCCCCCCATATATAGATAGATAGATAGATAGATAGATAGATAGATAGATATTCAAGCATGTTTGTAAATGTTACAGAAATATTAATTGGCAATACAAGTATACACCAGCATGAAAATAAAAACTAAACTTCAATTTCTTGGAGCACTCTGTGTAAAAATTACAATTGATATTAAATAAAATTAATTATGGTTATAGCAAAAATGTTTTAAAATGCTTATAAAAACAATGCTTTTGGATACTCAGCTTGCAAGAAAAAAATTGATTTTTTTTAAAAATTGCAGGTTGATTATCTAAAAGATTAATAATGAAAAAATATTAATTAAGTTACATCCTTTATATGCATAGTATTCTTAACGGTTAATTTTCGTATGTGTTCATAAATAAAACAGGGCGCGTTTCATGCGCATGTACAAAAAAAATCACAACTCTCAATTAAATTAATTTTTTTTTCCTTAGCAAGTAACTCCTGAAAATAATATTGGATGAGATATGTGTCTAAATTATTCAACCAAACATGCTTGAATAAAGATATACTGCCTATGCCTATATATATATATATATATATATATATATATATATATATATATATATATATATATATATATATATGTATAAGCAGAAAAATTCACCAATCTTTTTTTTTTAATTGATCAGACTAGTTCTCTCTATATAACTTTCTGCTCTACTTTTCCAATTTTTGGATCAATTGCTGTATATCAGGATTCTACAGAAAGATGGTGTGAATGTAACATGTGCGTAATGGGGATGTTTTTAATAAAATAAGATCAAAAATACACTTTTACTTAGAATCAGAAGGAAAGAGAGAGTCAAAGTTTCTGAGGCTGATAATGAAGAAAGAGACCTTGAAGAATTTAACATTCAGATGATATATTGATAGAAATAGGTACAGAAACAAACTACGATTATATTCCTAACCAACTCGTGTGAATGGACAACAAAAGAGGGACCGGTGGGGTGACTGCTAAGGGGACAAAGATTGCTTTCAGTCCGACTATAAAGATAAAGAGAAAAGAGAAGTTGTGGAGTGACATAATCACCCACGTCTTCAAAGAACAAAAAAAGAATTATAAATGCCTGACGCATTTTTAATGTGTTATACTGAGGGAGTCTCATAATGTTTGCTGTTGGGTCGATACAGACTATCCCCCTTTTTCTTTGGCTGGATAGAAACCCAAGTGGCCGACAATGTTATCCAGAGGTTAGGAAAACGGGCTTTGCAATCTACCCAACGAGTCGATAGATTAATCTGCAGAGAAAGACTCTTCCAACCTTATTTTAAACCAATCGACGTATTGCATTGACTACCGCAATGCGAATTCCACGATGTGCGGGTTCTTTAAGAGGAAGAAGAAAACAATTAAAATTGTCGTGAAATAATTGGCCAACTTGTCCTTCGTCAAATATTATCGGTTCTATCAATAACATTATTGATATTATTTAATATCTCCTAAATCATCAACAACATTTCTTTTATCGTTTATCCATGATCATTATTAATATTTATGCATTTTAATGTAATACCAAATAATTGGTGGTTATCAATTGAGGTTGTGTGACAGCAAGTCTTATTGTGTCTCTATAATTTTCTCAGTCCCATTGCAAACAATTTTAGCCTTCAGAGATTCAATAACTTTTATTAGTAGCAGTAATATTAAACACTCACTGAGACTGTAATAATCAGTGACAGTCATTGGAGATTAAAGAATAGCAAACCTCCTCAATATTCCAGGACTCTCCTTTTAGTTGCTTTCAATAAATTTTACAGTTTTTTACTCCAAAGTACATATATATATATATATATATATATATAGGTTTGCTCTACTTTTGTATTGAGCACTTTAAGTTAGTTAATTTGGGGGGGCTTTGGACCTGGATGCTGTATGATTATTTTCGACAGACGTTCATATTCCTAGCTCTTTCTTTTTTAAAAGACTTTTTCCTTCGAAATTGATTTGATCATTAGTAAATCAAGAAACCAAAGGTTTTCGAGACGAGTGTAGTTACCTATATATATATATATATATATATATATATATATATATATATATATATATATACAATACAATATTTAAGTAAATAGCATTTACTTAAATATTTGTATCTATAAAAAGAATGTATAAATATAAAAATGTCTTCACACACACACACACACACACACACACACACACATATATATATATATATATATTTGTATATTTAGGTAGCAATCCTTCCTGTATGCATGTTTCATTAAAAACGACAGACAAGGTACTACGGTTAAGCTTTTTATCTAATTTTTCTTGTTTTCTGACAAGAGCTTTCTTTTCTGGACAAAGTGTGTGTAAGAACTGTCCAAATGTTCTGTATTTCCGAGCGCTTTCGGCTATACCTTTAGCCATTATCAAGGATGATTCGATTTTCAGCTTAATTGAGTGTGTGCGTTCTGTGTATGTATTAGTGTGTGGTAGGGATGTTCCGAATACGGTTAGCACATTGTGGCTTTGTTCGTAGTTAATATTGATAAGAGTTGACTTTTTAATTTTTATCATTAAAGCTTCCATTGTTTTTAGTCTTTTTTTGCAGGTGGATGCAGTTAATATATTTGTGTTTTCTACTAGTATGTTCCTAATGGAGTCTGGTAAATATGTGTGTGCGCTCGCGTATGTGTGTGTGTGTGTGTGTGTGTGTGTGTGTGTGTGTGTGTGTGTGTGTGTGTGTGTGTGTGTGTGTTTAAATGAATTGGGTTCTAATGGAGCTGTGATCAGACTACGAACAAGAAAAATTTCTATATAAGCAAGGACTTAAGACCAGATTTCTGATTTAAAAAGTTCTTGAGATCCGGAAATGTCATAATCGCTACATTTTTTTTTTTTTTGGTCTGGAAATTTTAACTTTTCCTCTTGGCACAGTTTATAAATATCACTACGATTGCTGTAAGTTTTTTTTTTCTTTTTCTTTTTTTTTTAAATAATTTCCAGTTTATAATCAGATAGTTGTTATTTTTATTTTCATGTTTTCTTTTAATTTCTTGTAACAAAATCAACTGAATGAAAGATCCGAAATAAGGACACGATGCATGCACACTAAAAAGGACTTTTTGAGTTCATACGGACCAGGATGAAAGTATGTACATTTTGTTTACTCCCCCTCCAATACTATTTCAATATGCTTTTCTCCTCCCCTTCTATTACACTTCACGTTGTAAGTTTATATATGAGTAATAAAGTGTAAGTCAAATCTTTTGGCTTATAAGGCCTGACGATACCGAATTGTTTGAACCAATGTAGCGTCATTGAATAGTCTCCTATTTTTAAATATATATATATATATATATATATATATATATATATATATATATATATATATATACCCGCTTATCATGTGACTTTTGAAGCTAATTTAAGAAGGCATGTACTGCTGGCCCTGGCTACACCGTTAACTAAACTATATATCCATTTTCTGTAGTCCAAAATTCGATCTTCATAGGTCGCATGATACGCGAGTATATACGGTAAAATGTCAGGTTTCAGTCCGTGCCTGACGATTGCCACGTGCATGATGCTTATAGTCACAGTACGTTAAAACACCGGTTCCCGTACGATCCCCGTAGTTAAGCAACGTTGATCCTGATCAGTAACTAAATGGGTAACCGCTTGCGAATACAAGGTGTTGTAAGCTGTATAAAGGGCTTACGACTACATCACGTTGAAACACCCGTTACCATACGATTGCCGAAGTTAAGCAACGTCGAGCCTGGTCAGTAACAAGTTAGGTGAACACTGAGTAATACCAGGCGGTGTAAGCTTGGATATGCCGGTGGTATAACGGGCTTGCGACCGTATCACTTTGAAACATTGGTTCACGTACAAATGGGTCACTGCTTGAGAAAATTAGGTGCTGTAATTTTGGATGTGCGGTTGGTGTAATTAATAATGGTTCGGAATTGAAAATCGGAGAGCCGAGTTCAAATTCACGTTGGGTTCGTTATATTCACTTTCGCGCTAAAACCTTTGGGAAACATATGAATCCACTTCTTCCCCCAGCTATAGGTTAAATAGAAAGATCTGTGTCATTTTTGAGATTGATCAGTATCTAGATGGGTAATCACTTGGGCTATACCAGGTGTTGTAAGCTTGGATGTGTAGATGGTGTAATGGATAATGGCTCAGAATTGTTAATCGGAGAGCCGCATTCGAATTCCAGTTGGGTTTGTTATATTCACTTACATGCAAATAGCCTGGGGAAATATATGAATTCACTTCTTACTCTCCCAGCTATGGGTTAATTAGTAAAACGTATTAATAAATCATTATTAACTAAAGACAAATCTCATAATCGGCAAATATTTTCTGGCTTTAAAATAATCTACAGAGGTTGATAAACCGTAAAATACAAATCAATCACTTCAGATTTCATTAATGGTATGACTCTTGCGTTGATTTAACAGATATTAAACAAAGTCAATATTTGAAACTAAACAAATAGGACAACCAACATGCGAAAAGAAAATAATAATAATAATAATAATAATAACGAAAGCAACAAAAAAACTTGGCCAAATGACATTACAAAACATCTGTGAGGACAAGGCGTTATATGGCAAATACATAAAAAAGAACGAAAGAAGCAGATGTGAACCAACAGAAAACACATCAGTGGCTGAGGAGCACCAGATGAAATGCTGAGACAGAAGGCCTAATTCATGCAGTCCAAGACCAAAGCCTTGCAACAAGATCCTATCACTGTCAGAAGATCAAGGGTGGAATTAACCCGAAATGCAGGATCTGCGGAAAATATGAACAAACTGTCGACCATTTTATCTCAAGCACAAAAAATGAATATACCCACAGACATAACAAGGTAGCGACATATATGCACTGGAAAATATGCAAGAAGCACCAAATCGAAACCACTGAGAGATGGTATGAGCACCAACCAGACACAGTTGATCGAAATAAGGATGTAATTATCCTCTGGGACATGCCAATTCAAACTGATGGGGAAATAAATCTCAACAGACCTGATATCATAAAAGACAAAAATTCAGGACGTCTATGGTTATTGACATAGCAGTACCACCTGAGAAATTGTCCAAATACAAGGACGTGGAAATTGAGATTAACAGGATGTGGGGAATGAAGACTGAGATTGTACCAATAATAATAGGAGCATTGGGCCTCGTGAGAAAAGGAATGGACAATTTTAATAATAGTGTCCCAGGCTACATCAAAATACAACTTACGCAGAACATCGCCCTACTAGGAACATCCCATATATTAAGAAAAGTGCTATAAATTAAATGACAGTTCTCCTATAGGGCCTAAGGACTATAGTTTGGACCCGGCTCTACGGAATACAAAGCAGGAAACATAACATACACAAATAATAATAATAATAATAATAATAATAATAATAATAACTTGTATTAACTCGTGAAAATTCCAGGTTTTCCTATTTTAATATTCTGATGAATCTTAATTCTTAAGCAAATGGTGGAATATGCTTATGGCAAGTTCTACGACGATAAAATACCCATAGAAATTCCACGATCGAATCGTTAAATATTTGAGCTTAACGACTTAACGAAATATTGCAATAACAATTATAAATAGGAATGCTGCTCGTTATTTTAAGAAGTGGGTACAAATTAAAAGATTTGAAATTGACAACTTTATCCATTTCTCTGAAACAGGCGTTAAACATTCCCATCGTCCCTTCGTCTTTCTTTCTTTCTTTCTTTCTTTCTTTCATTCATTTTCTGACTGAAACCAAGTAGTGTCTTTTCTCATCTTTCCACGCGATCAAAACTAAATATTCTATTACTTCTGAGGTATTGGCAGGGTGTAACGGTCGTGCGAACTGACAAGGGGAGGAACAAGCATAATTGTAATTGTTAAAAAATAACAATTGATTAATTGTAAGTGTTAAATAAACAGAAAATCAGAATAACCATCTACTTTGAATGGCTCTTGAGCTTTGTATTGGGGGGAGCAATTAGTCGATAATAATAATAATAATAATAATAATAATAATAATAATAATAATAATAAGAAGAAGAAGAAGAAGAAGAAGAAGAACAACAACAACAACAACAACGAAAAGAATAACGCCATTTCACTAAGAGATGAGAAAATCCTGTCATTTATCCTATAAATTATAAAACCTTCTAGCTTCCCTTATAAGACCCTATAATTATATTATTTCACTAATAATATATAGCAGACTATCTAACAGCGCTCTAAATCTCAAATGGGTTTCGATTGGTCAAATAAAACGTTGTTACAACTTCGATGTTGGCGTCATTGTCCAAGAGTAACGCTCTTTATAGTTTAACGGGGTTTTAAGCATTGCTCTGTCGAACTGGATAAATGTCCTTTAATCTTTAGATTTTCGATTTCTTGGTTACCATTTCGTCTTAATTCAACTGCGTCTTTCGTTCTTCAAATGCATTTTTCACAAAGCACTCTTCTTATAGTCGTCTTGCGACCTTGATTTGGAGTTAGATGAAAAATAACCACTTATTGAAAAGCAGACATCTTACAACTTGTATTGAAAGCCTCGTTTTGAACGAAGAAATATGCTTCAAATATTTCTCAGCGACTGACGTTGATCTGCGGGTGGGAATTGGCAATTCTGCTAATAACTAATAAAAAAAATATTTCTCCAAAGCAAATCCATTTGTTCAGACCGAGTATAAAAGAATGACCAAAAACGTGACATGAAAATTGAAGACCAATAATTCTTATCGATTACGTTTAGCACAAGACTAAATTACCATGAGACTACATCTATTTTTTCCTCACATTAATTTTCTTTAGGGGAACTTAGAAATGTTCTAGCGATCATCAGCTTTGAATACAGAACTGAAATGAGAACGTAGTCTGGGTGAGACTGTTCCTGTGACGTGGTACGTGCAAGCATCTATTATTGATGATTTAAATCATTGGTCCGTTAGTCGTGGATATGACGATAAACTGCATCCAGCAGCAAGGCTTGTAATTAGGAGATTGTAGGTTTTGAGAAGCATGGAACCACCTCTTAATTGCTGTTGTTTCCAGCTCCACCCTGCCCCGGGGTGTTAGAGTGGGTCCTATCTATGATCAAATAATGAATCCCCTAGCAAGGATTATATTTTAAAAATTGGCAAAAATACATATTTATAACGAAATGACTAACAATACATTTTATCTAGAGTTGAAGGCATACAATTGCGTTCAGATGATATGTATCTGAGACAATAAAATGGCTTTCAAAATATTTAGATTTCGGCATTAAATAGCCCATAGAGGTGTTGATATGCCGCTAAATAAAATCTACCAACAGTGGTTCGTAACCTTTTTCTAACTACTGCTCCTTTGGGCCCAAGCCCATATGCCTAGAGTCGCCATTCGGTACCAATATGAAGACACTTCTTTCTTGGCATTAGGTATACTGCAAATTCAAAACAACAATTAATACCCATGTATTTCGCCTTATCTTAAATTCCATTAGGTTAACGCAACATCCGGGGTTTATATCGCTATACCTATAAACGTAGTACATTAGTCCCAATAGTTGTTGGTTTTCTGGTCTGGCTTATATATGTCAGGAAAATACAAACGTTCAGATTTTTAAGTTGAGATCGGTTGTGAATTTGTCTTATAGATTTTGTAAAAAAAAAAAAATATTACTAGATTCTAATGCTACTACGCAGCCCCTAAAAGCCCTTTTCTTCGATACTCCTGGATCTTCATACCGCCCTCAGTGAGTATTTCCCCACACTTTGGAAATTCCGGATTTAAAGAATATACTTACACTCAATTGTCTATAAGATTATAGCATTTTGTTATTAATAATTTCATATTACACTAACACACACACACACACACACACACACACACACATACATATATATACATACATATACATATATATGAATAATTTAGACAAGTTCTGCTTACTTATTTTCAATTGTATCCTTTCATATTCACGGACAAGCTTTTTGGTGTCCTTATTAAAGGAAGAGAGAAAATTACCGTGTTGATACATATTATTTATTCCGAGTACTTTCGACATAGCACAATGTCATCATCAAGTGTTTTTTTTTTGTTTGTTTTTTTGGTGGGGGGGTTTCAAGACAAATATTGTAGTGTTCATTAATTTTCAAAGACAAAATTGCTGTTTTCCTTTGAAAGTGTTTTTTTTTTTTTTACTTGTGAAGTGAATGACGCAATTGTGTACGTGATGGTTTGACTAATGCTTCAGGGGAGGTAACTACGTATGGCGTGTCGAAAGTTTTTAAGAAATAAGTATTAAAACTATTAGTGCAAACCATGATATTTTAAACTGTCTATTGTACACATTTTAAAACATTTGTGCAGTATTCATAATTAATTTTATTAAGGTTTGGTTTTAATTTTTAATATAGATAGCTTCGGGAATATTAAGTTTATCTTTATTACTTTCTGGAAAATATATAGATGTATTTTCAACAAGATTTTTTTTTGCATTGTGAATATGGGCACTCAAGTCATTCACACGTACTTAACTCAGTGTTCTTTGCTTCACAAGTAAAAGAAAATTTAACTTTCAAGTGAACACTGCAATTTTTGTCTTTGAAAATGATGAACATTACAATATTTGTCTTGAAATAAACAATACACTGATGATGACACTGTGCTAATGAAATAAGCACAG